AAATTGAATGTTTTGAAGTAGCCAGCTTGTTTTTCAGGCCAAACTCTAATAGAAAATATCTGGGTCAACTTTGATCGAAAGATCTACGCTGAGAACAAACAATATACTTCTATATCAGAGTTAAAAGCAGAGATTCCGAAGAAATGGAATGAGGTGCGATAAGAATCTCGAGAAATATTAATTGGAAACATGTCAAACCAAATTTTTAAACATATCAAATAAAAGATTAATTTTCCACTTGCTAAATTGCCTATATTGATTATCGCAATTTTCTACAATCAATCACTGGAATTTATTAAACCTTAAATTTCTCGTGACACAAAACGTGCCGCAAATCCACGATAACAAGAATCGTGAGTCGAACAAGTAAAAACAGCAATAAACACGTATAGAATGAGTTACAAAGTGTCTCGGCAAAGTAGACGAAGACTTTTCGAATGACCAGATAAAAGAGCGACGGAAGATGAGGCAAGTAGAAAGCTCGACTCTCTTACTTTCGTCTCGTGTTTGACCAATAAAGTCTACCACTACTCATCCTTCTTTCATAAGCATCTACAATCTACCGCCACAGAAAAGCAGCAACTCCAGTGAATTTTTTTCCATCCTTAACGCGGTAATTATAAACTTGACGCGCTTCGAATAAATTAAGGGATCCGGGGACGATAAGTAAACGCAATACATTACAAAGCAAGTCAAAGTTTCTCAGCGAGAAGTCCCCGATAAAACGAAGCAATCTTCGTGCCTCCAATCGACCAATCTCGATGACGTAATTGCCTTTCAGCGAGCTTAGGGAAGCGAAGGGTAAACTTCTCGAAGGCTTCCAGGCCGGAGCCGGGCCTCCATCGATAAACGATCGCGCGGAAGCAAAGTTCGCTTTGCGGCGTGGAATTAAACGAGTTCGTCGAGACGATAGTTCGAACGAGAAGGAAGAAAAACAAACAGGAAGGGACTGCTCGACCAATCCCGAAATACGTTAATTCTTCATTTCTTTATGTTAAGATGATCGTTAACCAGTTTGCTATGAGACAATTCAATAGAAACGTATATTTCCTTTGTAAAGGAAAAGGGTGGAGGTTGTATTTTTAACAACTAAAAATAATTAAAAATAATTTTAATTATTTTATTTACAATTTTAACAAGTTGATAAGTGCAAATAAATTTGCTTTATGTTTTGCAATTTTGACAAATAATTTGCAGAATTGCTGCAACCTCGATAAGAAGGGGTTGGAAATGATCTATATCATGAAAAATATTCCTTGTAGAAAAAAAATTACATCCCCAATCATTACAAATGTAAAAGTTTCTTAATTTGACCCGAATGAAAAGTTTCTCCTCTCCTGTCAATTTCCTTCAATCGGAGTTCTCGATTCATTACTCCATGCTTTACGAATGTAAAACGAGGACTTATAATTCAAAAGGTCAACGATTAGCATTATCGATTACCAGTAATTGCGGCCGAGAGAAGTTGTAAAAGAATTCCGAAAGAACATGGTCGGGTATTGATTCTACTACGATAAAATTCTCGTGTGCAGTTTGTTTTCGCGAACTGCCGTCGAATGAATTGTCGTTTAAACTGCGAAAAGCGCATTACGCTCGATATAAAGCGGCATTTAATCCGTGAAAAAGCGCTTGTTCTTCGGCTCGATCAACAGGATGGATTTATGGAGCAAATCTTTGATAAGGTTCGGCTTCTCGATTGTGTTTGTCTTTGGAACCGACTTTGAAAATAATGTGTAAACTTCTTTTGAACAGAGAAAACTCCACGGTACAAATAATAATAATTTAAATTTATTATAAATAATAATAATAAATTTCTGTTATTATAGCAAAAAATTATTTAAATTCAATGAAAATTAGAAAATATTTAATAATTGTTAGATAACCATTTATGTAATTCTATAGGCGGAAATGTAGAAAATAATAATTTTGAATTCCAACCATCAATGAACGCCAACATTTCCCAAAGCAAACACAATGAATTAAACGCGTTCTCGCAAACAAACGAACATAAATAATCTTTCAAGTATCGCGGACCACTGAAACGTTTCCTAAGGGTTCTGTACACGTGGAAGGTAGTCCGTTTGCAACCCCATGATCACGCAAGATACACTGGTGCACGTGTGTGTGTGTGTGTGTGTGTGCCCGATCGTATCTCCGTATGTGGGTCAGACATAAAAGGGAGGAGAGCTGGAATCGTAGCTAGCAGGAAACTCTGCATTCGGAAACGGACGAGATTTTCAGTACAGAACGAACGAGAAGGTTGAAAAAGGCGGACAAGAGAGGGAAAGAGTTGGAAACTAGAGGTTGGGATGAGTCAAGAGGCTAGGCCGGAGATAGTGCCTCGCTCTGATATCTCAAATCCATTTCTGGCTCGTGCCGCGGACAACCGTCCGCCTGGAGATCTTCCCTACCACTTTTTCCATCGCTTTCCACCATTTTTCCCACTTTGCTCGTGCTTTTCTCGCACGCAAACGGCACCCCGGCGAAACGTCGATCGAGAAACGAAGCTTTGTCGCGTTTTCACCGAGTTTTCCAACTAGCCTACGCATCGCGATTGTGCTCGGTGACGGGAAAAGGGTGCAATTTTGTAGGAGAATGTAAAATAATCTTCGAATTATTTTTTTCATGGCTAAGCTTGAATCGCAAATTCGAGTTTAAGGCTTTCATTACTGAGTTTTACGAGTGAAAATGGGGGAGGATCGTAAACTGAAGAGTACCCTTGAAACGTGATTTCTTATAAGGTTCTAAAGTTCTACTTTGTTAGCGAAAAAAGTGGTATGGTTTAAACTATTTCTCGACCCTTTGTATTATCTACTTTTGTTTAAAACTCAGAAAACTCAGCATAAATTTAACTATTTTGTAATAAATTTAGATTGATCATATTACTACTGATAAATATCTGGATTCATATACGTTGTTATACTTTTCCACCCTCTGAAATTTTGTTATTGCTGTGAATAAATCACAGGCAATCATTGAATCTCTTCGTAATTTATCACCAATGTACCTTTGATATTTCCCTTTATAATAAATGTATTATCACAAAAATATCAAAATCTATAATTTAGAGAAATCATTAACATCGTTTTGCGTGTACTCAAATATACCTCGAATTTGTAAAAATATTTATAATATAATTCTTCACAGTAAAATACAAAGGTAATTATGTTTCCCTGGTTAATATTTACGGTATCAGTTACATATTTCTCGGCCGTGTGAATTATATTCCCTCCGATAGGAGCGAAGAGAGGGAAAATGGCAAATCCTGGACATTATTATCAATTACCGAATCGTTAATTCTATTTACGTTATCGCCAGAACGTGAAACGATTTCGGGCGACTGCCACCATCCCATAAATCACGCTCAAGCACCATTATCTGTCTCATACACCGAACCCGATGAATCGCGACGGCTATTATCGAGGCGATAGAAGCTCGAGAAGTTCGCACAATAACGCATAATGGTCCGCGCGGTCTTGCCAAAGGTCGATAAAGGCTAATTAGCAGAAATCCGTGTCTCAGATGGTCCTTCTACCAATTCCTAATCACTTAACCGTTGAGAAGGGCGTCTCGAGTGGTTCGGAAAGTACTTCCAAATTTTAACACCAGGCTAACAGTCTGGTTATAAAACGAAAAGCTTTGATGAATATATATTTCGATTGTGTATATATCATTTGTAGATTTATACCTAAACTAATAGATAGAGATGAAATAAAAAAATAGAGACCATGTGGCATTAAAAAGTAGAAAGAAGGAGGAGCTAAAATTCATTAACAGATTATAGATAAATATTTATAATTAATTCGATTTTATCATATATATAAATTATAGATATTCGATAGAAAATGATACGAATGTATGACTATTGTAATATTTCAATGTAGATAATCAAAACTGCAAACACACACATTAAGTGATATTTTAATTAGAGATAATTTTCAATAATTAAACTCCATCCTGACTCAGAGTTACAATTTAAACAATGAAATGGAATAATACCCCGACAAACACTACGAACCATTTTATTGACATAGAATCAACATAGAAGGCTGATTGTTTAACAGTCCTGCCTGAAATTATACGCCGAAAATGATGGCCCTGTTAGAAGGGATCAGATTAGAAAAGCGACCCGAATTCGAATCGATCGAGTGCACATCATTCATCAAAAATTCTATTCAAATAGTAATATCCAAGCTGAATACGTAAGCGGAACGATCGGGATATTTGTGTTGTTATCGGAGCAAAAGCGACCGCGAAGTGAACGTATTAAAATCTCTGAAACAATAAGCGTTGCGAATCGCGTGGGACGATAGGGAGCTAGAATTGGCCCTGTCAAATTTCGCGTTCCGACCGGATTATAGGGCCGCACGCGCAGGAAATAAGCGGAACACGCTGAATTGTATCGACCGTGCCAGGTTCACCGAAAATAATGATTCGACGGTCTCGCGACAATGATCGTCACCGCTGTCCGCCCGATCCGTGACGAGGAAAAGCACACACGGGATGATTTCGGCCGCAATGACGAACCGTTCCGACGCGATTCCACGCGACAAACTGTCGGTGATATAGGATCGTGGTATCGAACGCTTGTAACCGTACGCTAAACTCTCTCTTCGTGCTAACACGGAGCGTTTTTTAGAATTAGAAAATTTATTTAAAGATCCGTATTTGTAATTGGCAATAGAAGGTATTTAAAAGCGATGATAAAAAAATGCATTAACCTCAGATTAGAAATATTAATACGTTGAATGCAATGGGAGTCACTCGGTGACATGCCTGAATATTAAAAGGAATCAATAGAAAAATATTATTTTAAATAATACTGCTATGGTACAAATAATGTAAAATAGCAAATAGAAAGATGGAAAATTAAAATTAAAAAATTAACTATTTCTATTCTTAATAATTAGAGCTTCGATACATCCCATGATAAATACCCATTTTCACTGTGGCGTTCAACGTGTTAATATCAATTATTATTGCTAATTGTAAGTACTCACCGGGCCGAACTGTTCGAAGTAGTTTTTGACGTCCTCCAGCGTCGTCGGTGCCGATAGTCCACCGACGAATATCTTCTTTGTCCTCGTCACCATCTGCAAACACAAAAAATTAAAATCGTAAGAGATCCAATTTTTTGTGCCAAAAATAACAAACACACAAATAATTCGAAGAACATTTATCAAAAATTTTGTTCACTCCCCAGATAAACGCAATGCAACTATATTGTTTCTAGCGCATCGGACTGCAAACACTTTAAATATAGAAGTCCGAATTTCGCAAACAGCTATTGATCGACGCGTTTATATTTGACATGAAAAATGGAACGAATAGGAAGGAGAAACGATATTTATTTCCTTCGGGAAAATACAACGCGAAACTGTTTATCATATTTTCAATCAATTCTGTTAACCGACCAGTAAAATAATTTTTATTAAAACAGCGTTCGCGTTGAACTTTGCAAACAGTTTAGAAAACAATTTGAGAGAACTTGTTTCGCGCCTCGCGTTATCACTGTTTTTATTCATTTCTGTTAATAATCCTTAAGAAATAAGCTTGCGTTCAAGATATATCCCTCGCTTACTCGATGTCCCTAAAACCAGAGCCAACAATTTTTCCTCGATGAAAGAAACACTGTGAAAAACTTTCCACTTTGATCTTTGGCAATAGACTCTTAGAACGATTGAAACTTTTGGACGTTCCGTGACAATTCCAAAGAATGCGGAACATTCCTTCTCGCAACCGTAACTTTACAGAAAAATTACATTTACACGTAACAATTTGGTCTTTTCAAGTTCGCGAACGTTTCCGGCTACGAATCGAGCTTTGTAGACAACCATAACGGTTAATAAATTGAAGCTTTTGCGGATACCTTGGAAGTATACTGGTGTACGTTCGGAAAATCTGTTTACTCGGTAGATTCGCGGGCAGAAAAATGCGCCGGGCATAATGCTCCTTTCAGAGCGTGTTTTGGGGAGGAAAAGAAGTGTAACGCGCTGGCACACAGAGGGAATATGGGAGAGACGGCTGAAAAATGGTACGGTCGCGGTTAAGAAATTGATAAGGAGGTTGATAAAATATGAATGGCCTGTGTCGGACACACAGCGACGTTTCCACGGAAAGGATCCTTTCATCGACGACATTTTTCATATTTGTTCGGATCGGTAATGTCAATTCCGATCGTCGTCCTCCCGTGCAATGATTTTCTATAATGAAAGTTAAAGGAAACCTTGTTGCAATAAGTAGACCTTGATAAAATAACTGATACACCCTGTATATATGCCAATTTTTATACTTTGGACATCACATTTTTATAATGTAAAGTTAATTTAAAAGAAGAGGCGCCACTGTGTACGCGAAAGTTGATCAAACTCCTCTCTAAGGTTTCACAATCACACAATATCGAGGAACGTAATTTATTTTAAGTAAAACCCTGTAAAGCAAGCTTGCGCGATCTCTTTGCTTCGCTCGACTTGTATTTTTATCGGGACTCGAGGAAAACTGAACCGATGTAAGAATACAGAGGGGCGTGCTGGAGCTTCCATATTGAAAAGTTTTCCACGAATGAGGACAGAAAAGATATCGGGGGTATAGCTAACAGGAACGCACAAAATGAGGTTTCCACAACTTCCACGTATGATACGTTTTCAACTTCTCAAAATGCTGGTTGATGGATTTTTCTAAAATGGAAGGAACCTAAAACCTTCTTCGATCATTTTCAATGTTTGCATTCGATGCATCGTTTAACAAAATCTTTCGCATCGAGTAACGAAAAAATCATTTTCTTCAAATCAGAGGAACAGCATCGAATCGTGGCGAAACTAATTACCAGTGGTCGCTTGAATTGCGCGAGAAGATCGAGCTGGTAAAGCGGAAACGAGGAAAGAAACAGCGTTCGGAGGGAACATCTTAATAACACGATTGCGATGTAATAAAGCTCGAAATATTTCGCTGAGGAGAAGCTGTTCGCAAGAGCCGACTGCAGGGAAAAAGGGACAGAAACATAGGAAAGGATGGGAAAGGGTAGTGGGTGCAAGAGGATACATGATAGAAGGGGAAGTGAATAGAGCGGAAACGGTGGAAGAGGTAAACTCTGGTAATTTCAGTGATGGCTGGGCTTAGACCTCTCTATATCCGGTGAGTAACGCAAACCCCTTGGCGCAAGTCCTTCCACCTCGTGGTCCTGAAACTCAACCCACTCATCTCTTTCTAATCCCGGCCTCTGGTTCACGCTCATCTCCGTGCCCCTCTGATTCTCATGGGAGACGGAGAGGATAACTCGCGAGCTCGGTCCGTGGGGCTGGCTAATCAGCGGAGTGTATAAAGTCCCGGGGATGAAAATAAAACGAGGCTGTATCTCGAAAATTAAATAAATGACTCGGCCCGATTCCGTCGGCGAAAAAGCTGCTGGCGAAAGAACTGCTGAGTGACAGACGAGGGATGGAGCGAGAGAAACGACAGGCTCGAAGAGGATCGAGATGGTTGCCGGCGTGGGAGGGGTTGGTCGGGTCGTTTGGAAGACAGAGGAAAGGAGAGCGAAGCAAACGTACCGAGAGATAGACGTGGATAAATAACAAGAGCGAAAGAAGGGGCAAGAGGATACACGAGGCAAAGGGGAACCACTTATTCGAATGAAGTTGCACAAGCGGCAGCTCACTTGCTTCAGCTCGGCCGGAAGTGCCGAAAGAGGGAATTGAAGTTTCCTGATATCCTCTGCTATTGCTATACCGCTATCCCCGCGGCTGTTGCTACCGGACGGGTCTCGGCCTAAGAGCCGGCTGAGCTGCTGAAATTTTATTACGCTTCGCTACGCTCGCTCTCGTTTCGTAATGAGCGCATTGTCGTGCAAACGAGACACTTCGGAGCAACGTTTGCGCCGCGATGCCCCGAGACACCAGTCAATTTCTTCTTTCACCGGCGAGAACTCTTTTGTCCCGATGTTGCAGGGACAGGTCGGACAGGACCAACGAGACAGAGAACAGGGGTCCAGCTTGTAATTGCTTCGACAAAGTTTCGCGATATTTAAGGAACCCGTTCCTCGCTGAACTCGCAGGAATTTCAAGTTCGAAAGAGGACAATCGCGTGGACCGGTTCGAGTACGAAAGAAGAAAATCGAGGAGATTTTGGACTGTCCAGAAAAAGAAAAATAGGGTTGAAAAATATATAAGTCATGAGGGACAGGGGTGAACAGGGAAGAGTCGTTAGCGGAGATAAGAGCGGATAGCCGTGGAATGGTAATGGAAACTCAGAGTTCCACTTATTATGCCGTAGCATTATGTAAATACCGGAAGACTATTACAATTTTACAACTTACCAGGAGTGGCTTTATAGTTTCATCGCCCGGGGTCCTTTTTCCCTCCTTCCTCCTGGTTTCCCTCGCGAATCGAGGAACCAGAGGGCTAACATCGCGTATGCGCTTCTATCTCGATTTCCTTCCCCTACTGTGTAAAATTTCTTTCGGCAAATATCGGAAAATCTCGGAAAATCGGTAAACCTTTATTTTGCCTGTATCTGATCAGATACGCCTGTTTCTAGTGCAACAATGAACCGTTTTAAATAAAGCTAAAATCAGCTTAATTTGTCTTCCATCGGCAATGATAAAATATATCACAGAGTGAAAATACGTCTCAATTAGTCCTCTGTAATCAAATGCTGGTAGAAAAATGAAGAAAGCGAAAGGGGAAAACGAGCAAGGTATCGGAGCAAGGGAAATGGGTAGAATAAATATTGGAATAAACGTTGGCGAGTGGGCGTGCCAGTTTTAGCAGGCCCAAACCGTTAAATCTGCCTGGAAAACACGGATATTGTCGCGTGGAATGGCAAGGAGAACGCTTTGCTCGTTCGCAATTATTGTGAAAGTTTAATCGGCCGCTATACGCCGCACTGATGAGACTACGAGAGCACGGTAGTGTATACGTGTCCGGTGTATCGCGGAAACTTTCGGTACCCGTATCGTTCAGAAAATGTTTCGCAATTTTTGTCCCTGTATCTCCGCAAACAGCGGCAACAAAAAGGAAACAAGAGTTGGGGGAAACAGGGAGAAGAGGAGCGCATAAACGACGCGATACCTTAAACGAGAACCACGTAAAATTATATCCAAAGCGATTTTATTTCCTCATTTATATGCTTTCTGAACACAGTGTCCTTTTAATCGCTTTGAATCGTGCTTCCTACGTTTTCTCGTTCGTTTTAATCAATTTTATGACTTCTTTAATGGGAAAAAGAGAAACGGTTCTGAACGTAAGCTTTCCGTTACACATTTAACTGTCCATTATCACAAATTATCAAATGAAAATTAAATTTTGTTATATCTCTAAGGATATTAAAATTTACCATACCTACGAGAACGTGCAATGCATTAAATCAAATATTTTCATATTTACCGAAAGATTGTTAATAGAATTGTAATTCAGAGTTTTAATTTACGTACATCGCAAATAACTCGATCTTAAATTATAATTAGTACCTGGTAAAGTGGATAAAAATAAAGTAAAAAAATTGTGTAATTTCGAGCGCAGTGAAAGAAAAATTTAATTTTATCTCGGTAAAAAATTAACAATTGCAAAAGTGTATAGACAACGTCAGGATTAGAAAACAAACAAGTGCTATTTTCTCGAGGAAAAAGCACAAAAGAAGCAACCTTCCAAGATTGATACTCCGTGACTGTTCAAAAAGCGTTAGAGGGAATAAAGGGTTGGGAGAAAGACAGTGGTTTTCCGAGAAGAGGCTACGGTGGGAAAGTAGGGCGAAAGGGCGGGAACGAGCAAGGCGAATGGGTTATCATCCCAAGGGTTACATGCTTCGTGTTGGTTATACGTGAAGCCCCTACGTTTCTTTTTCTTGCTTCCGCGGCCCATTTTTTCCCGATCTTGACGTATCCTTCGAGAACGACCCCACCCTTGTTGTGCGCGTCCCTTCGTCCTCTGCGACAAAACAGAATGGTCTCAAACCATGCAATTTTAATATCCTAAGCTGTCTTTCTAAGTTTTATGAAGGAAAATCATCGAGAAAAAAGAAAATTAATTAACGATGGTAATTAAGAATTTAATTTTGAAGGGTACGATTAAATTCATAATAAATTGCAAGTTAACTGTTT